TTTAACTCTTTTAAGACTCAAAGAAGAAGAAGAAGCGAAGAAGACAACAAAAAATGGCTTTGACATCAGCCCAATATTCATCTTCATCGGCATCTTTGACCAAGACCAAAAACCGAATACGAATTGCAGAGTTAGACGAACACGTGGTAGGTTACTTCTTTTTTTTGTGAGATTTGTTGGATTTTGGCAATATTTAATATTGATTGAAGTATTGGGTATTGGGGTTAGGATTTGACGGATAGAAACTTAGGGTTATGTTTTTTGAAATTTCTGAGACTTCAAAATAGATTTTGGGTTTGAAGTTAAGTAATCGATTGTAATGTAAAATTTCAAGTTTTGAGTCACATGGATGTATGGGTCGATGTTTGGGTGAACAATGATATGTTGATTTAGGTCACATAATTGTATGGTCACAAAGTGAAAATATCACAGTTTATAGGATGATTTAGCTCACGCGTTGTCACTTGGTCACAGATTTTATGGTCACATGATATCATGTTCGCATGGTCACATGATACCATATTGACATGGTCACATGGTAGCGTATTGGCATGGTCACATGGTACCGTATTGACATAGTCACATGGTACCATGTTCATATGGTCACATGGTACCATGTTCACATGGTCACATGATACCATATTCATAGGGTCACATGGTGTCTTGATGACATGGTCACATGGTCTGTTGGTGTCATGGTCACTTGGTTGAATATAATAACATAAAGTCACATTTATTTTCAGAAAATTTAGAGTATACTAAATAAAGAAACGTTTGAAGAAGCACTTCTTTTTTATTTGGAGGAATTGACGTCGTCGAGTTCATGACTTGGAAATTCGTTCGAGAAAGTCTTCTAAGAAGAAGAGAAAAAGTCTGATAGATGAAGAATAAGTAGAAGACGAGCGAGCAGAAGAAGAACAAGAACAAGGACAAGGATAAGAAGAACAACAACTATATGTGATGACAATATCACTAAGATGTGTGAGCAGTTGACAGCCACCATATTTGTTAATGGAAGTGTTCAGAAGTAGAATCAAGAACTAATTTATGTTATAAACTTTTTTTTTGGTTATGATCTTTTGTTTGTTTATTATAAATCTACAGAATTTTGTGTTATGATATAATGTTTTATGTTTATTTTATATATGAACATATGGGGTGAAAACTATTGAAAGGTAAAAATTTTAGGTTGAAAAATTTTGGAGGGAAAAAAATTTGGGTCAAAAAATATTGGATGCTAAAAAATATGGGTTGAAAATGTTGGGTCCCACCGAAATCAAAGATAAATTGTCAATAGTAACTTTTTTTTGTACACTTGGATGACACTGGGCCCCACAAAAAATATTGCATATTCAAACTGGGACCCACAGTATTTCGGTCACAATGGGTCACAGTTGGTCACAAGGGTCGATTTAGTAGATTATTTCAAATGAATCGATCTGAATGTCATCACATCTTCCTTATGCACCATTTTGAACTATAATAATTGAGTTACTCGAATTTTGTGTGCAAAAGTAGTTCTCACAAATGTGATACATTAGTGTTCATAGTCTTTTATGAAGAATTTTGACAATTTTGGTCTTTTTATATTACAAACTCATTTTAATGTTTTGTAATTTTGTTATCAACATAATATTTATATTCCTTATACCTTATACTAACAGGCCAAAGCTTGAAAACTACGTTTTCACCTGTATTTACCTTCGTCACTTGGTCACAGGTCACATCCGGTCACAATGGTCACATAGTGTAAAATTGCACATTGGTCACATGCTGGTCACGTGGGATCCAACTACTACTCATATGAGATAAATTATTTACTGTTTTTTTAATATGTAGAATGAAACCAAAGTATTATAACACATTATTTGAATACATTATTATACAAAAGTCTTAATATTTTAGTGTACATATATAATATAACATTATTATACAATTTATATTTCTTTATTCATTCAAAATTAGGGTTTCTCTCAAACTTTGTTGATGTTGATACTCTTATTGTGACATAGATCCGCTTTTGGACTTTACTAGGACCTGAAAAGCGGTTTTGTTTAGGTCTCTCACTTTTTTGTTTGTCTTCCAATTTCTTTGTACCATTTATAGCTTTGTTAAATTCTTATACGAGTTTGCAACTATGCATGAGATTGTATTTTCTTACACTCCAACGTTTCGAATTTAAGATCAATGTCATACGCAACTTCCAATTACAGTCGGATCCAGTAACTTCCAACACTCTTTGGTTTTTCATCACCTTTCCTTCTCATTCATATTCTCCATTCTTATTCATTATCCATTTACCATCATACATAAAATATAAAATTGTCCATCTCTCATCTCGTCCATCTATAATAGTTGTAGAAAATATAAATACAAAATACAGATCAATTCGACTATTCTAGACACGGTGACCATGTGACCATTATTACCATTTTTGACTATGTGACTATGTGATCATATGAACATAGTAATATGTGACCATTATTACCATTCGACCATTTAATTTAAATCTATGTGACTATTATTATCAATCCGACTATTATGGAGATCATGTGATCGTGTTACCATGTGAACCTGGTACCTTATGACTATGTGAACATGGTACCATGTGACCATGCAAATCTGGTACCATGCGACCATGCGAATCTGGTACCATGCGACCATGCGAATCTGGTACCATGTGACCATACGAGCCTAATACCATACAACAAAGGATAAAACTTCACAAATATCACCAAGTAGAAGAAAAGAAGTGGAAAAAACATCATTCTTCATCAAAATAATCCCCACAACCATCAATGTATATGAAAAACAATAAGATTTTCGCAATTGATTATTTTTTTCTAACTCTTCACTAATTTTTCACTGATTCTACTTTGATTTCGAGCGATTTTGATGAAAAAAATAAGAAGAGAGAGAAACTGCAGGAGAGAGAGTGGCCAAATTCGATGAGAGAGAGTGGCAAGAGAGAGAAACTCAAAAAAAGGAGAGAGAAACCGAAAAAGGGAGGAGAGAGAAAAACCCTACATTTAAGGAGGGATATTTTTATTAAAAAAATTATATAATATAATATATTAAGGGTATTTTAATCATTGTGTATTAAAGAGGGTATTATAGAAGTTGGATTTTTTTTTAGGATGAGGGTATGAGTGGATGTTGATGTAGCACATAGAGGATATAATAGAAGTTGCCCCCACTCATTTGGTATGATTAGCTGCAATTGCCCGACAAATTATCTCCTTGATTGATGCCACTAAGAAAAGAATAAAAGTCACGGCCACCAATTTCTACCTCCTTAAGTATCAACAGAGACACATTCGCAGAAGGGAGAGGAGGAAGAGTCTGAGAGAGAGATTACGAGTGAATTTCCGGAGAATTCAAGAGGAGTTTTTGGAGCAACACATATAATCAGAGAAGAAGAGCTGCAAAAATACTGAGCAATTTCTTTCTCCTGTCTTTATTTTACTATGAATCTCTCCTGGATTTTTATTGTTGTTGTTATAATTTTTATGTCTCGTGAGTAATTTTTCTGTCATCGTAGGTTAGAGATTGATAAGGGTTATGTAAAAATTTCGTGTTTGAATCATCTTGAAATTATGGTTTTATGATTTTGATCGAATGAATAGGTTTTAATATTATGAATTATACTGGCCATATGATTTGTTGGTTTTTAGAATTTAAATTTGCATAGAGATATGAAATTTAAATTCGGAAATTATTCATTCGGTTAAATGATTTTCGCATCGAGAGATGGTTGCATCATTTAGGAATTGTGATAACAAGCTTAATGATCTTAGGAGTTTCAATTTATTTGGAACCGAGAGGTCGGTAGATTTAAACTCCCGAGATAAGAGGTGAGACTCGAGAGAGTGATCCTCGACAAACGATATTGAATTTCCCAAATCATACCCATAGTTATCGAGATACATCCTTAGAATAAATTTTTACATAACCCGAAAAAATCTCAACACCTACGATGTTTTAAATTGAACTGTGAAAACTGTTATTTTGTATTTATTTTAATTTGTGTTTACATTTAGTCATCGTCACTGCCATATAAATATCACCGTCGACCGAAATCGAGTAAAACCCGTAATTGTATCATTAATGCCCATGTGTCCCTGTGATCGACCCTAGAATACTATGATTGACCCGTATATTTGCGGTAGTTGTATCTAGGAAATAAAATGAGATTAGATCACACCCTACATCGACATCAGAAGTTATTGCAGAAAACAGGGTACAAGTTCTGAAAATCACTTCAGAAAGGAATCCAGCTGACATCTTGACCAAGACACTACCAATCAGCAAGTTCAACCAGGCGTTGGCATTGCTGAAGGTCACTGGTAGGTAATGTCAGTGGAAACCCTGCCAAGGGGTATAAAAGATAACTTGGTTGCATTTGTTAGTGGGAGAAAAGAGACAGCTAGAGTCTGGTCATTTCAGGCAAGATGGAGTTTGTAAAGAAAATGCCTGAGATGAGAGACTCCAGCTGGTTTGGAAGGTCATTAAGAGCATTGATGTAATTGAATGTAGGAAGGCTGTTATTTTGGTTATGTATTTGTTAAAGGCTCGAAATCAGAAGCCTCCGAATACTGTTCATCGTCTTCTTCATTTTTCCTTCCCGTAATTTTCTCTCTGGGTTGTTTTCTCGAGAAAGTTACACTCGAGAGGTGTCGTCTGTTTTCTGATCAACCACTAGTGAATTGCCAAGTTACTTGGCCGAGACGTAGGATCGGTTTGTGATCCGAACTCGTAAAATCCTCTCGTTTCTTTCATTCTCTGTTTTTGCTCTCAATCGCTGGGTTCTGTTGCAATCATCGGAACTGGATTTGAAAGGCAGCGGTACTACATAGATAAATGCTTGAAATATTACCAGTGCGATCTAATAGGCCGGGGCTTGAGATTTAGGAAGGCAGAATATGAAATGAATTGGATAGGGACCATGGGTTTGGAGTCACTGAATTAATCATTGAGCTGACTAACTATACGGATTAAACAAACTTTCCATGAAGATGAAATATTGTGCAATCCGGGTTTCTGTTAAAATTTTAGGTGCTATTCAGGAGAATAATGAAAGGCCATCATCAAACAAAGTTAAGAAGTCAAGAAGTTCCTTGTCAAGCCGAGGAAATGGGAACATTAGGAGAAACGGCAGTGAAAGGCAGTCCGGTAAAGAAAATGGTTTTTGGTGGTTGAAGCTTCCATATGTTTTGGTACGTATATACTCAGGCTCTCTGTCTTTCTGATTTGTTTACACAGTTTTAGTGTAGTGATAACGAAAGTTCTATACTTTCTTCTTCTTTAGAGAATTCTTATGCGGAGTAATATTGACGAAGAAGTATCTGAGGGTTTCTTTATTCTGAGAACGGAATCTGCGGATAAAAATGAGACCGAGAATTCATACGTTGTTGCATTTGAGGATCAAAATGATGCCAGAAACTTCTGTTATCTGCTGGAATCGGTTTTTGAAGATTTAGGTGGTTTTTGCACCGATATTGTTCCTGCATCAACCAAGGTAAATACTCGTACTCTGTAACAAGACGAGAAGAAAACACATTGATAAAGTTCGATCGAAATGTTAACTGCTTAGTCCCAACGGAAATACAATCTCGGCATTTGTTTCCAAGGATTTATGACTACTTTAAAGTTTCTTTTATGTTCTTTTTTTGAATCAAATTGAAAACTTTCCCGCAGGATCTTCTCAAAGAAGTGAGTTTGTCCGGGAAGAAAGTGATCGTTGTGAAGAAGAGGCAGCTCACTTTGTATGCCGGCCAACCATTTGAAGACGTCGAAAGAGCATTGCATTCTTTGATCCAAGAACAATGAATATAGCAGCTGGAGATTTTCACAGAAGATCCAGGAAATTGAGAGAAACAGAACATTGGAAAATATCTTCCAGAGATTTGATGTCATGACAGAACATTGTTATTAGGACATGAAAAAAGGAACAAAACAACTGATGTATAGCTCTGTATTCTTCATCAATGGAAACCGACGTTTGCTTTTGTTGCTTCAGGGAATTGGAACCAAACTCGGAACATAATTGCTTGAATGATGCCAATTATGACGTCCATCCAACCTTATGAACCTGCCACCCTCTTCGAAAATGTAAATGGACTGTGCCATTATGTCTTCAGTGTATAGAACTAGCGTCTTCCTCTTGTTCTCTTCAACGAAGAAATTCAGGTCCATGAAATACAAATCTAAGTTAACAGTCATGAACTTGCTCCACGATATCTCGATCCCATTTCCAATCTTATTCGTTACCCAAATCCTGATTTTCTTTGCAATGCACTGCTCTAACACCGAGAGCCGGTCTCCTCCTAAAACCGACATGCACAAGTAATCTGGATAAACATAGTTAAAGGGTAGGTTAGAGAAGGGCTTGAATCTCTCTGTTGCGAAGTTGAAACTTTGGATGAATCCTTGTAGTGTATCTTTCCTCACGGCAATCACATAGGAATTTCCCTTGAATGATACAGCGAGTCCCAGACATGCAGGAAACCAGTCGAAGAAAGAAACATCAAGAACCCTCCATTTACCCAATGTAAACTCGAAGATTTCAGCTCTTGGACCTGAAAATAGACATCGAGGATGCAACCTTAAGATTTTGTAACCATTGCTGAGTTTGTTGCAGTATCCAAGACTGTATGTAGAACTGCAGTGAACTAGAGCGGATTCTTTTCCCTTAAAAGCATAATGATTTACCGTCTGGATAGATCTCTCCTGCTTCAGAAATGGGTTTGAAACTTCGAGGCCATGGTTCGTGACATATAGCAGCAACCCATCAGAGTGAATTATCCGACATATTTTCCGACCATTTGAAGGAGGAATTCTTGAGGTAAGATCATGGTACTTGAGAGATGAAAGAGCAATGTTGTCGCTGTTAAGGTGTATCTCAACATTGATCAACTTGGAATAAAACGAACGGGGATGCCATAACATGAACTCTTGGGGGGAGGCATGATTGGACAAGTGCTTCTCGATGAATATCAGGTCGTGGAACAGAGAGTTCCATTGTTTGCAAACGAATCTGAGTCGTGACAGAAATTTGGTGGGAACCCTCGAGAGTATTTCCTCTTCCAAATCACTTGGAATCTTCAAAGACATTGCTCCTTGTTGTGAATCTTGGCCCAGACAACAAGAAACACGACCTAACTCAAAGCCCTAGCTCCCCCCCTCCTCCTCCTCCTCTTCTTCTTCTTCTTGGAGAAGCAGCCCCCGTCTTCTTGGAATTCTGTGTTTTCAGCCGTTATGTCAACTTTTCAGATTTCTCAGAGATGGTGACTTCATAAAGTCAGCAGGCAATCTTGTTTCTTGATCAGGTTGGTTAAACCAGAAAGTCGTGTCAGCAATCTTTGACAGCTCAGCATCTCCTCCTGTTCAGAAACTTGGTTGGGGGAGAGAATTCAACTTGCATACACTCCTACGTTATATGCCGCATTCATTTAAAAAAAAAAAAAAAAAAACTGGGCATCGCCCTGTTTTTCATCACCATGATTTATCATAAGCATATCATGTAAAACTCTGGTTTTACATGAGAGATTTATCAGGAAGAGACGATCTTCATCATGGCTTGTGCGTTAAGCTGCGTCAGATTGGTCTCGCAAAACTTCTGCCATTCTTCTTGTTTGTTTTCTTCTTTCGCTGTGATCTTCTGGTAGACTGAGTTCACGATACTTCTCGCTGCTTCCCTTGCCTCCGGTAACTTGTCATTCAACAAATCCGCAGCCATTTTCACGAGCCGAACCAACCCGAATTCCTCCATATCATCAAGGCCCTTCAAAAGTAACCAGTTACATCAATGGAAGATCAATGGCGTTTAGAAGATCTTATAGATCACAGATCAATTGCTGCCTCTCTCTCAAACTGCATCTCCAAAATGGTATCTGTCATTCCACCAAATTTTCTTCCCTGAATGGCCCTCTTATTGATCTGTGATCTATAAGATCTTCTAAACGCCACGTGACGCTGGAGCTGACACAGAAGAGGCAGAGGAGCTGCCGAACTAGCCATCGTGTTCAGTGCTCTGTCTGCTTCTTCGCACACAAATTTCTTGTCTTGGGAAGCTTTCATCAGCAGCTGAAACATCTGTTTTCAACACCAACTGATTATACCTTTGTGTTAATTCTATGTAATACGAAGAAAAAAACGATAATTTACTCACCAGATCATCGATAGCTTTAAAGCGAGGTTCTTGGAGCAGTTTTTCTCCGAAGGCATTGAAGATATCGGCCCGAAGCCATGATAGAAGTCTTACACAAGGCATTTCTAGGGCTCTTCATCGTTTTCACAATCCCAACTATAACCTTTTCCCTACATATTTCATTTGCAAAAACACCTCAGATTGAGCTTCCTCAATTATTACAGACTAGTTTCCTGATTTCAGCTTTTGTCCACACAACCTTCTATTTCAGATACTGTCTGAAACACCCATCTCGGGATTTGTTCACTGATAAATCATATCGGTAAAGCAAAACATCTTATGCCGAAAAACGGGTCGTAATGCTCATCCCCATAACGTTATTAAACAGAGAAGAATTGGAGGAGAAAGTACTTACAGAATGGACAATAAGAGAGAAGAGTGATGAACTGCGATTCTTCTTGTATTGTTCAGTGACTCATAGACTTTGATCCAATCTTTCGACGCTAGTTCTTCCAATAAACTCTTCGAAAAGATATAGCAAAAGGTCATTAAGCAATTTTTATCAGATTCGTAATCGACAAAACCCTTTCTTTCAGGAGGAAGGGGAAGAACAAAAAATCAAATTTGACGGATCAAAATCTCACCTTTACAATGGATTCAGGATCGGACAAGGATTTGAGATCCTCTGAAGCAATGTAATCCACGGACGAATCTGCCGACGGCAGAGGAGGAGGAGCAAGGGGGTTATTTTCGTCATTTACGCCTATCTCTGGATTCTTCGAGAGTTTTGGCAGCTTTTTCTGGCGTTCGTGAGGAACTGGAAGAGTTTTATTGATGATACGCAATGCCATTGAATCTCTGGAAATTGTAGAAATCAGATGGTGTGGGGTTTAGTTTTATAGAGGGGAAAAGTTTGTTCCTTTTTTGGGGAATTTTTAAAATTTAAAGAAAGAAAGCGGACGATCCGATAACTGGTCGTCGGAGATTTTGGCTCCCCAACGGGTCTCGCAATTGCGATTTCAGATGAGCCGGTTCGGTTCGATTCTTGTAATCTTCCGATCTTCGAAAAGGATAGTCTACACTGATCACCCTACATATTTCATTTGCAAAAACACCTCAGATTGAGCTTCCTCAATTATTACAGACTAGTTTCCTGATTTCAGCTTTTGTCCACACAACCTTCTATTTCAGATACTGTCTGAAACACCCATCTCGGGATTTGTTCACTGATAAATCATATCGGTAAAGCAAAACATCTTATGCCGAAAAACGGGTCGTAATGCTCATCCCCATAACGTTATTAAACAGAGAAGAATTGGAGGAGAAAGTACTTACAGAATGGACAATAAGAGAGAAGAGTGATGAACTGCGATTCTTCTTGTATTGTTCAGTGACTCATAGACTTTGATCCAATCTTTCGACGCTAGTTCTTCCAATAAACTCTTCGAAAATATATAGCAAAAGGTAATTACCCCACACCATCTGATCTCTACAATTTCCCGAGATCCAATGGCATTGCGTATCATCAATTAAACTCTTCCAGTTCCTCAGGAACGGCCGAAAAAGCTGCCAAAACTCTCGAAGAATCCAGAGATAGGCGTAAATGACGAAAATATCCCCCTTGCTCCTCCTCCTCTGCCGTCGGCAGATTCGTCCGTGGATTACATTGCTTCAGAGGATCTCAAATCCTTGTCCGACCCTGAATCAATTGTAAAGGTGAGATTTTGATCCGTTAAATTTGATTTTTTGTTTTAAAGAAAGAAAGCGGACGATCCGATAGCTGGCCGTCGGAGATTTTGGCTCCCCAACGGGTCTCGCAATTGCGATTTCAGATGAGCCGGTTCGGTTCGGTTCTTGTAATTTATATTTTCCGGTTTAATTTTAATTATATCAGACGTCGTCGTTTACAGCAGCTTTCCAAGCCACAGAGAGACTGCGATAGAGCTCCGGTCCTCGAACTCCCATGGCGTCTCGTCCCTGATTTTCCCTTTTTCAACCCCTAGTCCGACAACAGCTTTGATTACGAATCCTTCTCGATCCGTTCATGGATTCAGACTATCGAAACCCTAGACAATTATCGTCGCACCACCACCACCACCATATAAGGATGACGGTTCCTCCTCCGCCGCCGCCTCCACCGTCTCTGCCTCACATCGATAGTGATCGGAGCACCGTGGAGCTTCGCGCGTTTGATTGCAATCTCACTTCTCTCTGCGATCACATTCAGACCGAGGGGTTTGGCGCAGGTGCCTTCTCCGATGTTGTCGTCCATGCCATGGGCTCCACCTACCACCTCCACCGGCTGATTCTCTCTAGGAGCTCCTACTTCAGGTATATGATCTGTATTATCCTTGAATAAGTTCATGATTCACTTTCCGGTACTTTATTTCATCAATATGGGTGTGCTCTGTAGACACGGGATTCAATTATTAGAGCTTCATTTCTGTGTTATCTTACTTGGTGTGATGGATTGAATGGATATAGATAGGGTGGTATGCACTACTGGATTTTGGTCTATTCCTCCAAGGGAGAACCCATTTGTTCAATGCGGATTATATCATTATGCTTTTAGGGTTTCATATTCATTAAAGGGAGGGGAGGTTTGCTTCTACTTTTTGTTTCAGTTACAGTCTGTATATTTTGTTTTGTTAGGAATATGCTCCAGGGTCCATGGAAAGAAGCAAGTTCTCCGATCGTTAGCTTACATGTGGATGACAAGAATGTTAATGGGGAGGCAATTTCTGTTGCTTTAGCTTACCTCTATGGGCATCATCCCAAGCTTAATGATAATAATGCATTTCGTGTTTTGGCTGCTGCTTCGTTTCTCGACCTCCAGGTACACATTGGTTTGTGGGATTTTCGTCTAGCGAAAGATTATTATACTTTCAGGACACTGGACCTAAAAATTGAGTACTTTTTTATGTAGGATTTATGTGCAATATGCACAGATTTCATCATTTCCGAGTTAAGAACATCAAACTTCTTGGCATACCAGGTTTAAGACGTGCAATCATTTTTAGTCACTATCCATGAGCTCTGCAATTCTTAAGTTCTCATAATTTCTCCTACTCGTGATTAGGTGTTTGCTGAGAACCAAGATTACGGCATGCATGGAGAACGTGTAAGGAATGCTTGCTGGGGTTATCTCTGCCAAAGTGGTGCCACGGAGCTGAGAGAGGTAATCTAATATCCCTATAGAGAGACACGTGATGGATTTTTAACTAGCTGTGATTGCCTCGTTTCTTCCGACGTAACTGTCAGAAGCAAAGGTGTCCTTGTAATAAAAATATTTCAATCTCTCAAATGGCTGCTAAAAATGTTCTGACTACAGTGTGAAGAATCTGGTTCTACCCTGGGTTCTTCACTCGATATGCCATTCCAACATGAATACGCCTGAAGTTGAAGAAGAACATAGTTCAATTGTTATTCTTCAGCTAGAGTTAAAATATCCAAAGTTCCTGACTAGCTAATTATGATGTCGCCTTTTTTTGGGATAGATGCTGCCAAAGCTTTCTGCACAGACTCTACATGCATTGCTGACCTCTGATGAACTCTGGGTACCCAGTGAAGAAAAACGGTGAGAGAATGCATGTCTAATTTGGTAATGTTTTTCTTTGCTATATTTTATGGATTGAATTCTCTAAAATGGATGCTGTTTCGTTGTTAATAAGGTTTGAACTGGCATTGTATGCATTCCTGGCAAAGGGTGCTCTGTCCAAGTCAGAACATTCCAATCAAGGAAGTTCCAGTTTTGAAATGGGTGTGAATTTTCATATAGATTCTGCTACAGCTAAGGAAAAAAATCTGATGGATAATTGCTCCATCGAGAGCTTGGACTGCCAATTAGGGCGTTTAGATTTAAAAGAGGACCTAGAAATAGCGGGTGCTAGTCTTGATACAATTGTTCCGCTCACAGAAGGTGTGTTTGATTTCCAAAGAGGACTTTCTCGGTCAAACCTTGTACTTCAACAATCTGCATGCCCAGAAACAAGTTTTGGACCTGTTTGCACTAGTGTTGTGGACAAGCCTTCATTATCGAGTAGCTCATTTTCTGAGCCAACTTTTATTAGAGCATCATGTTCATATGATGAGGTTCCAGGTGTTGATGTAAGTAAGACCGAAGGCAGTGGGGTGGCAGTAGAAGGACCTTCTGGAGAAAGTCCTTGTTACCATTTGAGTAATGATCGATGGGTTTCAGGAAATGATTCTAAAAATTTTTCTCTTTTAGATTCTTCCTCTAATGGCTTTGTCTTGAATGACTGGGGAAGGTCTGGTGTTTCTGCTCTAACATGGGGTGGAAGAGTTGTGGGGGCAAGGCAGGTTATAGGCTGTACTAAAGGAAAATGTGGATTTACTGATGAAGAATACAATGCATTTATAAACACTTTTGAAGGTGGTTCTCTTCTGTATAGCAATATGTCATTTGAGGTGCTTCTCAATGCGAGAAGGCAGCTTGAAGAATTCGGTTTCCCCTGTAAAGCTGTGAACGATGGCCTCTGGTTGCAGGTTCATTTTCTAAACTTGCTTGGCTTCTCATTCAGCCAGTCTTAGAAAGCGGGCGATGAGAAATTTGCTAACGTTTGTCCTATTTTTGCATGTGGCGTAGCTTAAATCAAATTGAATCATGTTAATATAATAATCAATATACTATTGTGGTGCAACTGCTTCTTTAAACATATCCATTAATGTGTTTCTGTTTAAATTACTGTCCAGATGCTTCTCAGTCAAAGGGTGCAGGAAGTTGCTGCCGACACATGCAAAAGGTGCTGCCTTGTGAGCATGGCATGCGCATGTAGACAGGGATTTGGGGTTTCACTTGGAGCAAACTTCAATACCTATTACGGCCAAGACAATGGGCAAGGTAGTCTGGCAGGAGACATGGAAAATGTATATGTGGCTGACTCGTCTCAAGGAGGAGGAATTGGAATCTTTAAGCCTGTCAGAATCAATGTTAGAGGACAACACATTGACGGACTTGCTGGAATTGGTTGTGAAGCTACATTTGTGCCACCTTCTGCTTGGCCCCCGACCCCCTTTGTATACTCTCGTGTCCCTATCAACCGAAATGGCCAACAGTCTTTTGCTAACGATGCTCCCGAGGGTAGAAATGATCTCCGTGGAGAGATTTCAAGAGACGGGTTGACAGCTTTAGTTGGGTTGAGCCAAGGGGGAAACCGTGTTGGCAATATTCATGGAGAGCAAAGCGAAAAGGGGCATGAGAGCGGAATTGATGTTGAAAATTTAGAGCCAAAGGAACCTTCAGTTGGAACCGAGTGGGAAAATGCAAACAGTTCTATATTACTGGATACGAGAACACCTCTATGCCACTTTCCTCCTTTTCGTTTTGGGTAACATTTTCATCCTCTTCTGCTTGATCTATGCCATATTTAGAATTAGCCTTTATATTCTCGATGCTTATCATATTTTTCAGCATATCTGAGATTTCGATTAAATCTAATTGAGCTTTTCTATCATTCTATATTATGTATCTTATGAGCCCTTATGATAAACTTGGGATTAAGGTGATGTTGTTGTTGTTGTTGTTGATGAGACCTTATGAAGTCTCACAATTTACATCCATCCAATTTTCTCGGTTCTTTCTTTTGAGGCCTACTCTCGTGACTCGTTGCTTCCTTCTCATATTTATATGTTTGTTTTCATGTTTTGCAGAGTTGAATTTGAGGATGTTCATAGACTCAGCGATGGTCATGTAAAGCATTCTCCTGAATTCTTTTATGCCGGTTCTATATGGAAGGTATCACAAGCTTTTTCCGTCTGGAGAATTTTGTTTTTTGAAAGGCAGATGTCGGTTCTGATGAATTATATCTGTACGGTGTCCAGATTAGTGTCCAGGCTTTCAATGATGAAGATCCTCAAGGACGCCGGACTCTTGGTAAATCTGAAATTGGACACAACGCTTTTCCTTAACATCAATAATCGTGTTAAAAACTTACACTTAAAGCCGGAATATCTGTTCTTTCAGGATTGTTTCTACATCGTCGCAAAGCAGAGATAGCGGATTCGCTAAGAAAGGTTTATCTTTTATCTTCCTAGCGCTGATATAACAACCTATATCTGTTTTGTCTTCCTTTTTCCTTTGTGAATACCGTCTTCTTTCCGTTCAGGTCCATGTATACATAGACTCTCGCGAAAAGGTCACTGCACGTTACCAGGTAACTTACGCTCACCATGCTTATATATTCAGACATATTGAAAGAGAATCTTGCATTCATCAACTGATAGAATCTCTCTCTTTCTCTCAGCTGATATGCCCGTCGAAGAGAGAGGTAATGGTGTTTGGGAGGTTCAAACAGAGAGGGACACTGTTACCAAAAGCCCCGAAAGGATGGGGATGGCGAACGGCTATTCTCTTCGACGAGCTCTCTGATCTTCTCCAGAATGGTTCTCTCCGTGTCGCCGCCGTGGTTCAGCTCGTCTAGTTTCCTCCTCTTTCTAAGGTACATATATACCTACGCACGTATATGCACACATACACAGATATATATGTATATACAATGCGGGTATGATACGTATGTTTTGTGTAATGGTGTTGCATTGTGTTGATTATTGCAGTCTTAGAGGAAGTAAACACTCAGTCTCAAAGGCTCATTGACATCAAATTCAAATGTATGGAATTCGCCCCGTTAGTGTCAGGGGCGTGTATGTGTGCGTATATATTACAACGAAACGAAATGAGGGTTAAAAATAAAACATTACTATGATGACTTGTACGCCAAAATAATCTGTATTTTCTGATAATTAGAAGAAATTTCATGGTTTTTTTTTTTTTACTTTTTTGGTTGAACATAATTATGATAAACAAAAAAGTTTCGTACTTTGTAGAAATGCATCCAAAACGCCGTGTAATTTGCGGTTTATCTAAAAAAAGGTTTTTGCAAGTACTTTTTTTTCTTCAAAATATCAAATTACCCTTTTTTTTTACCAAAAAAATTGTATGGTGCGTTTTGGTCTGTTGTATTAATCGTAGTTCTTTTGATTATATATATTTTAAAGTTACGCTTCAATCTTTTATAATAAAACAATGTATTTTTTTAATCGATTAAAGTGGTCATACATCTAATAAATTGAGAGAGAAAAATCTTCTACGAAAATATGGACAATATGTACGGTATATTGTATAAATCGCGTAATAAAAGAGTTTTTTTTTTTGCACAAATGCGTCTCGAGGTTCGGATCGGTATTCAAGCGGTTCGGTTTGAAAACGGTATTTTCAGTTTTATAAAATTTGTATCAAACTAGAACCGAATGTTAAATGGTTCAGTTCGGTTTTAATATCAGTATCGCTTTGGTTTGGAACGGTACTATTATATGAATATAAAATAAGTACCAAACTATAATATTTACACATAAAGATTCGAATTTTGGTTCCGTATTCATTTAGTTCGGTTCGAAAGTGATTTATTCGATTCTATAAAAATTATATCAAATTAGAATCGATTCGGTTTTTTTATCGTTCGGAACTAAATTACCGAACGAAGTGCCCATCCTACAGATATATGATATATTTAAATAATATATTTTTCCTTCTCCCGTTCTTATTTTTTTTTGTTTTGCGCCCGACGGGAGAGCCTCGTGTGCTCTGAGAAAAACTATAAAGCATACAAATCTTCTTCCCGAGAGAGAATGCGGGAAATTGATTTTCCACAGTCCCAAACACAACATAGAAAATCACTCTCTTTCCCGGGAAACTGAAAAACACAATACGTAATCTGATTGTTTGTTGTCCTCTCGCTAATCTTCAGAGGATTCCAGAGGAAAGGAAGTATCCAAGATCAACGTGCAGAGGTGATGATTTTCTCCGAGGCGGAAACTCTTTCTTGTCCTCTCTTCTGCTAAAGTTTTCGTCTTTTCCCCCCAATATTTTCTCGCTGTTGAGTTTTACTTTGTTTTCGATTATTTTCAGGGCACATTTCGATCGTGTCTTGCACTGTTAACGTTCGCTCTGATCTCTGGGGGTTTTGCAAAACCCTAATTTGCCGTCCTGGGATATCCCTTGTTATGGTTCTCACCTCCGGTGGATGCCCCAATTTCTAGGGTTTTCAGTTTTCCTGGTTGAGCCGAATTCGATCTGGATGGGTGCCCTAGCGAGTAACCGCAAGCGTGGCGACGAATGCTTGAGCTTGAATCACCAGACAACGAGCCCGTTTCCTTACTTCCACGCCTCGAAGAAACGAAGATTCTCCTTTGGTATACAGCCAAATTCGGACAAGCCGGTTTCTTCTTCGAACGCAACAGTCTCGAGAATGTCCAAATACCCTGACGCGAAAGCCCCCTTTAGGCGAGAAGTTCACGCCCCTAGCAGGGGATTTCTCCGATTCGGCTTGTTGGGCCGTTCTTCAATACAAGAAAGAAAGGCCAAATCTAATGATTTCTACAAAAAAGACGAGATTGATCGTGAAATGAGCAGTTTTTTCGGCCGCAAGCATGATATCGTGAAGAGATCCGCACTGGATGTGTTGAGGTACCATAAAAACGACAAGGAGGTGGTTGATTTGGACGATGAGCCTGAAAAGGAAGCGATTTCGGAAGATTCGAGCATCCAAGTACTTGAAGAGGGTAGGGAAAAATTGATGGAGGAGAAGAATGTTCAGCCTTCTTCTTCTTCCGGTGTTGCTGATGTTAACAAAGGGAACAACTTGAGAATAGATTATGCTGGCAAGATGTTGGATTCAATTTCCTTGAATAGAGAAGCTGATGATTCTTCGAGCCTTGAAGCCTACAAAAAGCTTCTTGAGATTGTTGAACGTCGTAATTCTAAGTTGGAAACGCTGAATTTCGAGATTGTGTTCAATGAAAAACGGTTGTCACAGCTACGTGAGTCACGCCCTCTAAAAAAGCCGATGAAAAAGGCTGTTGAGGTGATTCATAATCTTCTTGCTGGAAATTTTTCCTGTACCAATTATTTGTTGGATTTCTTCTCTAAATGTATTTGTTATTGCCTACTGTTGTCAATTTTATCATTTGATGTGAAGACAGGTAATAGATTGACCAATGCATAGTGTATATTTGATAATCATTATATCCTTATGGATTTAGCTTCTATGGGTAAAACACCTTGTTGCAAAGGTACCTCATGTTTTGATTATTAACATTGCCATTATTCTTCCATTTTCTATTGATTGGATGAAGATTCCTCGTGAACCTTTTATACCTCTCACTGATGAGGAAGAATCTGAAGTCCAACGCGCTTTCTCTGCAAGAAATCGGTATGTTTGTTAAGAAGCTCTCTCTACTTGTTTCTTTTCGGTGATTTAGGAATTTGAGTAAATGCGTCTCTTTTTTTTCAGAAGGAAGGTCTTGGTTACTCATAAAAACTCCAACATTGACATTTCTGGAGAAGTTCTACAGTGCCTTACACCGTCGTCATGGTTGAACGATGAGGTACCCCTTCATCATCCGTTCTCCATTATGTTCTGTAACTTCTGTTATATATTTACTGATGGAGATCGTGTTTATGCCCGTTGGAAAATATTCCTTGAGCTCCTTATGTTTGGTTTTCTGATATGAATAATGTGTTTTGTAGGTCATCAACGTCTATCTTGAATTGTTGAAGGAAAGAGAGAGGAGGGAGCCTCAAAAGTTTTTGAAATGTCATTTCTTCAATACATTTTTCTACAAGAAGGTTTGTTTTCTTCTCTGTTCTCTTTCTTTAAACAGATCCGAATCTCTGTGCTTAATTTCCCTTTTAAGTGCACAAAGCCATAATTTTTACTTTCTCCATTCCTTCCTCCCGATATTTATGGATAAGTTTTATTTTCCCTAAATGCAAATGCTCAGCTAGTAAGCGATGCTGGTTATAGTTACAAAGCTGTTAGGAGATGGACCACACAGAGAAAGTTGGGATATTGTCTTTTGGATTGTGACAAGGTAGGCTTTTAGGACTCTCTTGTGTTTCAGTTAATCTCTTTGTGAAGATGACGAATTCTGTCCAAAGAATATATGTGTTGAACCAGCCTAGTCCCCTTTCTGCAGATATTTGTTCCCATCCATCGGGGTGTGCATTGGACCTTGGCGGTTATTAACAACCGAGACCGCAAGTTTCAGTATCTTGACTCACTAAATGGATCTGACCCAATAATTTTGAATGGTCTGGTAAATACTCTCTATCTCTCTCTCTCTCTCTAAATGGATCTGTCCCAATTATCCTTCTGTTCCCTTTGAAGTATTGCCAATTGTGTTGAGCACCATACTTATCCACAAAAGTGAACCAGCAAATCTAGGAAACTGATTCTGATTTCACATTATGAGTTGAAATTGATTTATTGAAATCTGGAGCTTCTTCTCATCTGGGATTACAGTTTACTTGTATCTTTCCATGATTGTTGATGATGAGTGACAAAATCCGGTCTGTAAGCAAAATGGTGGGACAGTTGGGGCCATGCACGCACGTTTTCACATCAGACAGGAGTCAGATAAAACTCTTACCTAGTTGTTGTCGTTGTTCAGGCAAAATACTTGGTGGATGAAGGGAAGGACAAGAGCGGGAAAGAGATTGACATTAGTTCGTGGGAAACGGAATTTGTTGAAGACCTTCCTCAGCAGCACAATGGGTACTTTAGTTTAAACACTTTTTGTCCCAAATTTCATTGAGAAAGCAGTTAGTTACTTTCTTTCCATCATGATGGGAAAAAAACAAGCAACACAGCCAACTGCCAAGAAAAATATGAAAATCCAAAGTCGAGGAGGGTTGAATGTGTTGCTGACTCTTGTCCTGTTGGGTTCGTTGTACAGATACGACTGTGGGATGTTCATGCTCAAATACATCGACTTCTACAGTAGAGGCCTTGGGCTGCATTTCCGCCAGGTAACTGGTATAATATAATATCACAGTCATGACTTAGCCACCATCAATTGTGATACATATACATACATACATACATGCACTAATATGCGTGTTGGAAATTGCAGGAGCACATGCCGTACTTCCGGATGAGAACCGCAAAGGAGATTCTGAGACTGCGAGCCCACTGACGCTCTCCTTTCCTTTTCTTTTTAAAATCTTTTGATCGAGCTGTGGGGACATTGGGTTTTGTCCTTTTGTCAGAGAAATTCATTAATGCCTTCTTTCTTGGATGTCCTCATTAGGATCCATTACCCAGCTTTCGTTTTTTTTTTTGCTTTCGCTGTCTGTACCATATGAAATTAGAAGGAACCAAAAAAGGGTATTTGAGTTTTGGTTATTCGCAGGGTGCGGCGGACATCTTATCGGGAAGCAGAGGAAAGATGATCCATCCGTAAAAGGCGAGGACGAGGTCAGACACGAAACCCTAACCCTCTCTTTTGTCTTTTCTCTTCTTCCTCCTGAATGCTCTTCTGTGGAAGAAGAATAAAAAACGAAACCCTAATTTAAAAATCCTAATCTCCTCTCCTTCGATTTGGAATCCAGGCGGATCTCCAACCCAAATTCCGAACTTTGAACTCCAAGTTCGGATTTTTTATGAACCTGTCGGTGGATGAATGCGCAAAAATTTTGAATACTCCAGCCCATTCCTTGTTCAATACAACAATTATACGAAATCTACAAAATAAAACAAAAAGGCCGACAAGTTTAAAATGTTACTTCCTGTGTACTACTACAACAATTACATGTATATTTGGAATTTAACAAAAAAAAAAGATCAATGATATTTAAATGAAAAGAAAAAAGAAAAGAAGAATAAATAAAAATGTTTTTCTTTCCTTTGACATTGGTAAAAATACTCTTTTATTATAAACTATATATGTATATCCATGCAATCATTTTAAACTAACGGCATAAAATGTAAACCCCAAAGAATATTGGGCCACAAATTTTAAAGGGCTTAAATCTAAAATATGACGTTAAGCCTATTGGACCACGTAACAATTGTGGCCCAAAAATGGAGTGGTGTTGCATTTTCAGGGCATTTTTATTTTTAACTTAAAAAAAAAGAATATTATGAAGTTTGTAACTTGTGCTCCAATAAAAGTAAAAGATAAGCAAAAACCTAAAAGCACTCTTTTTCAAGTAACTTTGAAAACACAGTCCCTCCTAAAACGAACACGGCACTCACCTCTCTCTCTCTCCCCCCATTATATATCCAAATCCAAAAAACCCTAATTTGACCATAAAGAAAAGAACACGATCGAGAACAATGTCGCTGAGATGGCAATTCTTGCTCATTGCAGTAGTGGCAATCTCAGTAATTATGACAAGACGTTGCTCAGGGGAGAAGACGAGGAATCGTCTTCGAAAAAGCCACTGGTGAAGATGGTGAAGGGGAAGAAACTATGCGACAAGGGGTGGGAATGCAGAGGGTGGTCGGAGTATTGCTGCAACCACACAATCTCCAATTACTTTCAGACATATCAGTTCGAGAACTTGTTCTCTAAGCGTAACTCTCCCGTCGCTCACGCCGCCGGATTCTGGGACTATAAGTCCTTCATCACGACCGCCGCCATGTACCAGCCGCTCGGTTTCGGCACCACCGGCGGCAAACTTCTCTCCATGAAGGAGGTCGCCGCCTTCCTTGGCCACGTCGGCAGAAAAACCTCCTGTAAGTTCTTTTTTTTATGTTAATGACCTCCTGTAAGTTCTTACATATACATATATATATATATATATACGTACTATATGTACATCTTTGCATATGTATGGAGTTTTATATGAAAACTCCTTTTGTCTATAGAGTGATGAATGAAAATACAGAAAAATATTTGCTTCAATCATCTTTTCCTCCTCTCCATATATCCATGTCAGCTTATAATTAAATTGACAAATTAATTAGAATACATATATATACATACAATACATGTATGTATCTGTAATCAGCATTGGTTTTCTTTAACCGGAACCGGTTATCAATGGCACGAACATTGGTTTTGAAGGCAGGTATGGGATGGCAACGGGCGGACCACTCGCTTGGGGGCTATGTTACAACAAGGAAATGAGTCTGTGTAAGCTTTACTGCGATGAATATTACAAGCTCACGTGTCCATGCACGCCCGGAGTCTGCTACCACGGCCGAGTCGCCTTACCGATCTACTGGTACGATGAAATCGAACCTGATACATCTTAACAGGTCCCGGTTTAGTTAACCGTTTGTTTGTTGGTTCAGGAACTACAATTACGGAAAACCGGGGATGTATTGAAAGTGGACCTGCTGAATCACCCAGAGTATATAGAGAACAACGCGACGATATGGCATTCCATGCGGCGATATGGCGATAGATGACGCTGGAGAAGAAGCACTTGCCGTCGGCTCACGATGTATTCGTCGAAAAATAGAATCCGACGAAGAACGACACGGCGGCGAATCGGGTCCCCGGATTCAGAGCTACCATGAACGTTCTGTACGGAGAACAGATCTGCAAAACGGGGTTCGACAACGACGATATGAACAACATCGTATCTCACTATCTGTACTACCTGGATCTGATGGGTGTCGGCCGTGAAGAAGCTGGGCCCCACGAAATCCTCACCTGTTCCGATCAAGAGCCTTTCGATTCTTCTTCTTCCTCTTCTCCTGCTTCCGATTCTTCCTCTTGATCTACGACATGTTTTTGCATGGCCTATTGAGAAGGTGATTTATTCGCTTACGTCATATTTATATAATGCTTATGTAAACGATTACATCATGATGATGTAATGTTTATGTAAGGAGTTATAGAAGTTTGAATTTGTGTGTGTTAGGTGTGATTGAAGAAAATAAGGATATGGTAGGTGTGATTAATTCATGATGTGTTATGAAGATGTATGGTTGTGATGAGAGTAGCGGGTTTGAAGTTTTAGTATAAATAGGGAATGTTGTATGGAGTTTTTCACATCAAACATTTCTAAGCATTTCTCTCTAAACACTTCTCTCTCTTTTCTCTCTTTGATATTTCCTTATAAAGTTCTAAGCATAAGTGTTTTAAATCTTCAATATTCTCTCGTTTTTCTTTCTTTGCATTATACACTAAAGAAGAGAAGATAAGAAACTTGTGAATGAAAATATAATACAAACTTCGTAACATGGTATCAGAGTACGGTTCAAGGGACGACGCTACACTAATCCAAGCACAAGACGCACCACGAAGCGCTACTTGCACGAAGAGCACTATAGCGGTAAACACCCAAAACATTCAACCCGTAGCTATTTTCGATGGCCAAAATTATGAGTTATGGGCCACGAGGATGAAGACGATGTTGATGTTGAGAGAGTTATGGGACGTTGTTGAAAAAGGCATTCCAACACAACCATCGGAGACCACAGAAACTCCGACGAAAAATCAAGAGATGGATCTCACAAAATGGAGGGAGATCAAGATGAAGGACATGATGACCCTCCAACTTCTAAAAAATTTTATCACGGATTCCGTCTTTCGGAAGGTGATAACGGCCACGACATCAAATGAGGTGTGGACCAAGTTGCAAGAAGCATATCAAGGTGACAAACGAGCCATACTTGTTCGATTACAATCTTTACATACTCAATTCGAAAATTTGAGAATGAAAGATGTAGAAAGAATAAGAGCATATACGGATAGAGTGATGGATATCGGAAATCAATGGAACAATTGGGAGAAGGAAAGAAAAATTTTGAAATCATAAAGAAAATCCTAACAACGATGCCAAAGTCATACGCAATTTTGGCAATGTTGATGGGAGAGATGAAAGATTTGAGAAACATAAGTGTCGCAGATCTGGTTGGATCTTTGATTGCACGTGAATTTCCTACCGGATGAAGAAGGAAATTCAGAAGGAATTTTTCCAGCTCGATCGAAAAATCACAAAGGATGTAACAAAGGTCTCTGGGAGTCTAATCCGAAATGAAAGAAATGGTGTGGTTATTGCAAGAAAGATAATCACGTCGAAGAGGAGTGCTACTTCAAAAACAAGAAGGGCCAACAAGACCAACAAATGAGGTGGTCGAAAGAATGCTATACCTGTGAAAAGGCGGGACATTTGGCTCGAGATTGTAGAAGGAACCAAAGTCACAACACTCAAGTCACACAAATGGAGGGTATGAATGATCAACTATTTACGGCATGAGATGAAGCTATGATCGCCCAAGGAGAAGACATGTGGCTAATCGACAATGGATGCACAAATCACATGTCCAAAGATATCTGGTACTTCAAGAAGATAGACGAGATATCAAGATCCCTATCCGAGTAGAGAATGGAGTCGTAATCACAGAAGGAAAAGGAGATATTGTGGTTAACACGAAGAAAGGTGAAAGAGTTATCAAAGATGTGTTCTATATTCCAAAGTTGGACAAGAACCTACTCAGCGTTCCTCAAATGCTCCTAAACGGGTACGAACTCAACTTCAAAGAAAGTAGTTGTGTGATTCGTGATCCTATAGGGAGGAAAATTGTCGAAATACAAATGTAGAGGAAGAGCTTTCCAATGTAGCTTATGAGACCAGACGAGTCTTCCTACACGGCTAAAGAAGATTCGATGGCTCAACTGTGGCACCGAAGGTTCGGACACGGTAGTAACTCATACATGCAAAAATTACTACAGAAGAATATGGTGAAGGGAGTCCCTAACTTTGGCAACTACAATGAGGTGTGTGAAGCATGTCAATTAGGGAAACAATCAAGACTCGTGTTTCCATCATCTTCATCAAGAGTTCAGAAGAAGCTGGAGCTAGTACACTCGGATATATGTAGCCCGATGCAAACACCTTCGCTTGATGGAAGTAGGTATTTCTTACTCTTCATCGATGATTATTCAATAATGACGTGGGTATACTTTCTGAAAAACAAGTCAGAAACATTTGGGGTGTTCAAGAAGTTTAACGCTATGGTAGAGAACCAAACTGAAGAAAAAAACAAGACACTCAGATCAGATTGAGGAGGAGAGTACACATCGCAAAAGTTTACAAGATTCTGCGAAAGTCAGATTATCTCAAAGTAGCTCACAGTGGCATACTCTCCACAACAAAATGGAGTAAGTGAAAGGAAGAACCGAAGTGTCATGGAGATGGCGTGAGCGATGCTAAAGGAAGACGGAATGGAAAACAACTTCTGGTCAGATGCGGTATATACTGCAGTATACCTGCAAAACAGATTACCTTCAGCGACATTGGAGAATACAATCCCGATTGAGGCATGGACAGGACGTAAACCCTCAT